GAATCGTTATTAGCATTGGTCATAGAAGTAACGATTATGACTTTAGCTGCAAAAATCGGAAACTTGTAGAGTGACAAAACTTTCTTTTTACTCTAAGCGGTATTTTGTTGATACACGTGTTTGGGTAGACGCCATGTCTTAAAATTTGATTTTGAACAATGGGAATTGCATCTGCCGACCTGCACAGTCTCACGAATACGCATGAAAAAAAAGTCCCCAAATTCTAAAACAAAAAGACACGTTGTCTTCTCAAAAGCGTATATCCACAAAAATAATGTTTAGTGCAATAGGAAACAATGATGGATTAAAAACAAAATTCATTAACTTCTTATGGTACCATTCTAGTCCATTCATGAATGGTACCATCATACATAATGGTGCCATCATTCATGAATGGTACCATCATTCATGGTACCATTCTAGTCCATTCATGAATGGTTCCATCATTCATGCTACCATTCTAGTCCATTCATGAATGGTACCATCATTCATAATGGTACCATCATGAATGATGAATAAATGATGGTGCCATCATAAAATTCAGGGTTTGAATTAATTAATAGCAAACACTTCAGATACCGAGGCATATGGACCAGACATAACGAATTACGTGTAGAAGAATGAAAAATTAAACAGAGAATAGGTTGCGTCAGAGATAGTTTCGCATTTCACCGTAAATTCCCACGAGACCAAAATCATTAACCTGAATACTCGAGTCATATTCTTAAACAAACACGTCATATCAAGACTTTCATATGGATGCCATGAATGGTACCAAACCCGTTCAGAAATATCCAAACTGTCATCTGTATAAAACCATTTTCTAAGATCACTGATGAAAAAAGGCTTTGAGCGAGTAAAAGCTGAGTCTTGGCAAAGATCACCCTTCTTTGAACTTTGTGGACTGGCGCTACAGAATCACAAACAAAGATCTCTACCATCACTTGAGAATTATCAATGGCAGCAACAGTTAAAATTAATAGTAGATGTAACTCGAAGAGAAAAATAATGACAATCAAAATGTTAGCTTTCCTACTGCGTCAAACAAAACGTTTGGAAGGAAACGGCTCAAATATACTGGGAAAAGCGGTAAAAACTCTTGGAATTGGGAAACCTGCTTCCCTAAAAAACTGATTTAAGAGGAAGGTCTTATAAATTTCAAACGAAAGAAATACTGACTATTCGATCAATGAATGACGAATGTTTCCTTATAGGGAAACGGTTAATCATTATGATGGTATTGAAGTATTGAATCTTGAGTCATATATCTGAGCTATATATGCTTGCTCAAATGATTTTCATCAGCGTTGCTTCTACATCATTCTAAATGTGCAGAGAGGGTTCTAGACTCGTCAAGGATCACGAGTGTGGAATTTTGACTGCAAAAGATTCAGTTGCAGTGGTGATGATGGAGGACTGTATACTTCCAAAGTGCCTCATATTTGGAGAACTATTTTTTGATTGATAGGGATAGGGTCTAATAAATCATTTGACACGGCTTTCTTCCGGATTAACAGTATAGCTTTTATTTCTCCAGGTCTAACACCAAAATGTTAATGCTTATCCTCCGGACCATCGCTCAGCGCCGTGTACACTGGCTCGGTCACGTCCTGCAATGACCTGACCAGAGGCATCTATCAGTTCGCCCCTCCATTTGCAAACAAGAGACGACCTCGCGGTAGACCCCACAATCGCTGTATGATCGTCGGAGGCGAAGGTGTTGTCCAATTGACCAATGCCAGGAAAATCACATAAAAAAGGATGGCCGTTTTTAGCACCAAATCGTTACCTGATCTTCCGCAAGCGGCTCTCTTATGTGAAGTCTCCCAGAATGAACAGTAGTCATAATTTTCACACAGTTCTCCTGTGTATCCCTGGAGACAATGACACTGCCGGGTTTCCACGTCACATTTTCCGCCATTTTTACATCCGCACGTATATTCTGGAATAAAAGAAAAAGAAACCTTTTTAATCACAACGCCAAAATTCTTCAGAGAAAAACGGAAATATGGATCGATATTGACGATTTCGATAAAAGCAAAATGGAGAAAGAATTGAAGTTGGTTAGAATTGGAAACACCCCAAAAAGAGTTTACATAAAGAATAAATGATTATAAATTTATGAATAAAAAATTGTTTTCATATTTCTTTCTTTATAAATTGATAAATGATAAATATTGAATTGTATTAGTTTTAATTGTATAAGTTTTTAGAATGTTGCAAATATAAAATTATTCTTTTAAATAAACGTTCTAATAAATAAATAGTGTTTAATATTTGTAAATTCTCAAGAAAAAAGATCAATCCACTTTCATTATATGTTTAGGTTTTATTCCAATCCTAATCATCATTTTTTAAAACAATGAACATTATCGAGGAGTGAAGGTAGTTAAAATAATAATAGCAATGTCAAGGGAAAAACTATTCTTTTTACGCTCCGTTTTATTGCTTGATCGATTAGTGTTTAAAATTCATTATATTTAGTTTGGTGTCCTGCTGTACATCTCGAGATTCTTGACAAAATTCAAAGAAGGATCTGCAATGTAATAGATCCTGATCTGGCATCTCGGATTCAGTCACTTTCTCACCGACATGACGTAGCTCCCTTTTGTCTTTTTGTTATGGGACCTTACCCATAATAACATAATAGACTATTCCATACGTAATAAATACTGCGCCTCAAGAGGAAGTCGGGCGACCGGCTGACCGGCTGATCGGTTGAACTCTCTGCCTTCGGGCGGGGAGGAACCTGAACGAGGCTACGCCGAAGGGCGGAGTTTCTTTCGGGGAGGTAAACTGACCCTGAACCCGTTTATACGGGTTCAATGGGCATATTTTTGGCCGAGCCCACGGGCTCGGAGATCCCACGTTAAACCGGCCTTGTGCCACATGATGCCCTCGTGGGGTGTGTGTGTGACTAAATACTGTTCAGTCCGAAGTCGGGCGACCGGCTGACTGGCTGATCGTCTGAAGTCTAAAGTTCAATCTGAAGTCTGGAGTGAAGTTAGTCAAGAGTCTGTCAGTCAGTCAGAGTGAGTGAGTCAGTCAGTCGAGTCAGAGGCAGTCTGAAACAGAGTCGCGTTCAGACAATTACTACTAAACCTGATTGTTCGTACTAACACTTTCTACTTCTCTGTATATATTCCTGTTTGTAATATATCTGTGTTATTCCATATCCGTGTTCGAGTTCTTCTTTATTGGTTCTACCTTGGACTATCACCGTGGTACAAGGAACCTGACCATAACACTTTTCTACACATATTTTCATGGGATCTTTTCTGATGGGCTTTTCCTCCTTTGTTCCTTGACCTCGTGAATTTAAGCGTGCTACTAGATTGGCAGATAGGTCTAATTGTTTTACTGTTGAACACCCTAGATGTAAACGTCCGTTTTATTCGAATAATTTCTTTTCTCGCACTTCTCACTTGTGAAACTCACTTCCGATTTCTTTGCTTACCTGCCGCCTATGTTCTTCAAAAATGTAAAGGTAACGTTAATCGCCACCTTCTGTCTTTCCGGAACCCTGTTCTTTGATTGTTCTTTCTCCTCACTTCTCCCCGCTAAAGTCTTCTAATTCTCTCTCACTCTCTGTAATTTTTTGTGTCTTAGTAGCACTATCACCTTCCTTGGAGTGAAATGATTAAAAAGAAAGAAACAGTTTTATCTGTTTTCAAGAGAAGGTTTTATCTAAAATACTTCAACCAAGGCAAGAGCCACTAAAAGGATTTCTGACGTGTAAACGTAAGAGGGGAAATAAGTGAAGATTATGAGGATAAGTAGGATAGATAACCGTTGACTCTAGAATTGAAGGCGTTAAGATTGTAGTGGTCAGGAAAGTATCCTCTCTAGAGTCAGTTCACAAAAAGTGGCGGTTGTTGCAAAGAAGCTGTGTGGAACTTTCTTTTAACCAATGGAATATGAGAGAATAAGGATGATTCGTGTCTGTGTACGTGGCATGAAAGGTTCTAGCTGTGGAGGGCCGATTGATTGATTCGTTTTTTACGGTTTATCTACCCATTTTTTAAACAGGAAAATATTATTATATTGTAATAGATTTTTGGCGATACAAGTTCTACTAATTAGCTGGGAGGTGGGAAAAGAGATGAATTCCTATTCTTCCCAAAGGTATTTGCGCGTAAGTGGAATGTCAATCGACATCTCCAATTACCTTGACTATCCACTACCCTTCTACTCATCCTTTCTTCTATCACTCCTATCTGATCTTGCTCCAAATTTTCTGTAACCCCTTGCGTCTTAGTGGCTTCCAGCCTTGCTTGGGGTGAAACGCTTATTATATATATAATTAGAATATATATATATATATATATATATATATATATATATATAATTAATTAAGTTATGAAGAACTTGGTAATCCGTATGGGGAATCCGAAGGAGGATATTAAGTCCCTAAACTATTTGTTTTTAAAAAATTAAATATTTCAATTGATAGCAAACATCAATTTTTTTTAGACATCTAAATTTCTATCAAACATTAAAATCTATTCTTTACATAAATTGCTAAAACCCAATTACAGCCTCTTTCTCTTTACTTCCCTCTCCCTCTACTTTCTTTTTCCTTTTTCTCTCTACTTCCCTCCCATTTCTATATATCACTTCCATTTAAATAGGTCAAGGTCTGGTCACTCCTCCTCCCCCATTACTAAAGTATGCTTGAGAGAGATATGAAATTAATCCCTCCCTATATTCTACCATGTCTCTTTAACTACTCCTTTTACACTCACTGTTAAATTACAAAAACTTACACTACCCATCAATTTTAATTTCATTTTTCGTTTCATTTTTGGAAGTGCTATCTGATGATCCGGTGTCCTTTAAAAGGGCTCTGGTGAAATAAATTATTATATTGGTAACTTAAAGTGGTCTGTTTTTCTTTTATATATATATATATATATATAATGAACCCGACTGGAATTGGAACTCGGCTTTTCGATTTTCACTTCTGAGCCGTTATCCATTACACTCCCTGCACATCCAAGCTTACATCACCTGGGATTCCCAAGCGGTCACCCATCTAGGTACTGACCACGTTCGACGTTGCTTAACTTCTGTGATCGTACGAAAAGCATTCTTTCAACGTGATATGGCCGTAATCCTCTGTTGAAACTAAGCTCGGCGGAACACTTATGGAAATAAAGATAGGGTTGCGAGGAGCTGGTTTCATCTGCGGGTGTGGGTGGCTGTAGGTTTGGAAGTGAGTCATTACCCACAAGGCCGCGTAAAACTCTTTTGAACTTACTTATGCACTGGGCTTGTAGCGAGCAACGTCGACACCGATAGTAAGAACAACCCCAGTTGCTCATCCTCGTTCCAGACACTCCGTTACTTTTCATCTTCTTGTGACTGGAATAAAAGAAAGGAATTAACAGCAACAGATGGCATTAAAAAGTTCCAGTATAACAAAATACTTCTGTCGCAACAATTTACAACCTTACGGCATCAGACAGCTGACGTGAAGAATTAATTCTTTTTCTCAGTATCTGACGTGTGTGGCTCACGTAATTTTGTTCCCTGGCATTGAAGTAACCGTCGTTTTATGTATTGAAACTGTTATTTGCTAAGACAGTTTATATTTTAAACCCAAACAGTGCCATGAGCCTCATAGGTGCGGCGATAGAAGATAGCCGGTGAGGCAGAATGACTGTAAGTCAATTTAAAAAAATTCTTATTCCAAAAATAAATATGATTTCAAAATTTAAAATATTATTATGGATTACATGTAAGTTTATGCATGAGCCTCAGTAAAAATAGTTATAAAATAATTATTGACCGATTTTATCATTGTGATATTTTTGCATTATATCTAGTATTAAGAATATAGTAACTAGGGTCTGCAAATTGGAGGAGAGAGTTATCAATTATAATGTCCTGACTTCAAATCTGCGGTTATCTCCCTTTAACCGTATATATGTTTTATTTATTTCTAAATGTACTTTTTATCACATGACATTTGTTGAGGTGCAAGCAAAAAATAAAAAATATAAATAATTCGACAATTATTTAATTTTTGCAAAAAGATGCTAAATTTCCCTTACTTCGTCCATCCCGTGTGACGGTAACAGATTTTTAAAAAATATTTTTACAAAGATTTTGTAAAAAAAAAGAAAGATTTAAAAAATAATGTCATTCTGAAAGTTTCATTAAAATCCGACAATTATATGAATTTGAAAGAATTTCCAAATCAATGTGTTTTTCCCCGGAAAAGACGTTGAAATTTCTCGTATAAATGTATGGTACCGCGTTGACGCCATAAAAACAATAATTTTTTAACCTAAATTTCAAACGTTCTATAAAGTATAAAAGATTTTTTTTTTTACATAAAACTATGTTTTGTGCATTTTCCCATCATATATACTCAAATATTACTTCATAGCGAATATTTGGAGGTACCTATATGTATGTATGTATGTATGCGTGCATATTTGAAAAAGTGAAAAAGCACTTACACGTCCCAATAGGAACAGGAAATAGTCTTTGTACCGTATGGACAACGAACGGAAGAATAGCTTCCAGATGTTACGGTTGAAATATGGACGTGAGACGGGTCTCCATAACGGCAAACGACTTGTGGCTGGATAAAGAGACAAGAAAGAAAACTTGACATTTAAAAAGAGATTATTTTGTATGACTCAGTAAAGATCTTTTCTTTTTGTACGCAATAACAAAAGTCTGGTAAATAGTGTGCATGTTCTAGTTTAAAAGGAACTCGCTTAAATCTGACAAAAGTGTGAAAATGTTTACAAATATTGGCGATTCTAAACTAACCATTATTTTTTTTTCAATCATTTCACCCCAAGTAAGGTAATAAGGCTACTAAGACACAAGAGGTTACTGGGGGCATGAGAGAATATGAGAGAAAACAAGAACATTATTAAGGAGAAAGAACTATAACAGAGCAGGAAGGGAGATGATGATGACTGATATTTAACTGAAAATCTATCTATCTATCTATCTATCTATCTGCTTACGGGCATATCACGTTGAAACACCTGATCCCGTACAATTAACAAAATTAAGCAACTTCGTACCCGGTCAGTACCAAGATGGGTGACCGCTTTGGAAAACTCGGTGCTTGGATGTGCGGGTGGTGTAATGGATAATGGCTCGGAATTGTGAATCGGAGAGCCGAGTTCCAGTTTCAGTTGGGTTCGTGATATTCACTCACGCACTAATACCCCTGAGAAAGGCGTGAATCCACATCTCCCCCTCCCGCGATGAGACTTGTATTACTAAACTATTATTATCTGCAAAAATAAAATAAAATAAAATTGTATAAAAAATATTTAGATTTCGGGATTAAATAGCCCATAGATGTTTTGACATGTCAAAAATAACAAATGAACCAACTTAAAAATACTGCTATTACAATGTGAGATATTTAATCCAAGCTTACAGCACCTGGTATTCCCAAGCGGTCACCCATCTAGGTAATGATCAAGATCGATGTTGCTTAACTTCGGGTGATATGATTTTGGGCGTAGATTTATCGTGGAACATTGCAAAATTAGTTTACTTCCAATTAACGCCACCAAAATATAACCGCTTTCATTTACACTATTTACATTATTCGGACTATTGTCCTCATCTTTGTCGCCATATTTATTACAATGTTTCGGCTGTTGTACGCTCCGGCCTTCTTCTAGTTGGAATGTCGAACTCAACCCTTTATTTCGCTCACTGTAATATAATGTAAATAGTGTACATAATACCCCATCTCAGAAATATAGACAGATACTGAAAGGCCGAAATGTAATAAATATGGCAACAAAGATGGGGACAATAGTCCGAATAATGTAAATAGTGTACATAATACCTCATCTCAGAAATATAGACAGATACTGAAAGGCCGAAATGTTGTAATAAAATTGGCGACAAAGATGAGGACAATAGTCCGAATAATGTAAATAGTGTACATAATACCTCTTCCCAGAAATATAGACAGACGCTTTCATTTAATCAACATAGAGAAACTTTTCTGCCTGCCATCAGCATGGCTGATGCTAACCTCCAGGAGAGCAATACTCGACGCCTTGTAGGACCCATGTTTTCAACTAACATGAAGTAGAGGGTCTATATCGAATCAATTGCTATGTTCACTGCTAGGAAAGTTGGTTCACTGTGTCGTGCCAGAAGAATTTACTCGTTAGAGTTCATCTTGCACATTTACAAATCTACCATTCGCTCGTGCATTGAATACTGCTACCATATCTGGTCAGGTTCTCCTGCTACTCATCTCGAGATCCTTGAAAAAAAAACAAAGACAGATTTCTAATGTAACAGATCCTGATTTGTTATTTCGACTTCAGTCACTTTCTCACCGACAAAGCGTGGTTTCTTTCTTTTATTTCTACAAATATTTTCATGGCAACTGCTCCGATCAGACTTTTTCCCCTGGTGCCTCGACTATATGAATTTAAGTGTGTTACTAGATTGGCATTTAGGTCCCACCGTTTAACGTTTGAAATAGATAAATTCAACCGCCACTTCTACTCTAATAATTTCTTTTCTCGCACTTCCTGTCTATGGAAATCACTTCCGCTTTCTTGCTTCCCTGATAACTACAACCTTGAAAAATTTAAATGTAGCGTCAGTCGCCATCTTTTGTCTTCTTGAACCCTGTTCCTTTTTCTTTGTCCTTATCCTCACCATTCTCAGTCTTCTCATTCTCTTTCACTTGCCTCACTGTAACCCCTTGCGTCTTAGTGGCATTGTCGCCTTACTTGGGGTGAAACGTTAAAAAACCCTCAAAAAACAAAAAAGAAAGTTTGCTGTAATAAATAACTTTCACTTTTAATTAAAACGCCATTCTTTAATTTGAAATTATGTTCAACCCTATGACACTGAACGACTAATACACTGAGTGTGTTATTTTGTATAATATCCATTTTTTAGTCATATAAGTTTTTATTTAAATTCCTAGATGGTTCGCCTATATATTTTAGGACTGTTTGCGGGGTCTGTATTGTGAATTCTTGTTTTTGTCATTCTTTTTCAATCTCACCATTAACCTCTTGCATCTTAGTGGCATTATTACCTTGCTTTGAGTGAAATGATTAAAAAAGAAAAGTTTGTTATCCAGTGACGAATAATTATAGTAGTCTGTAAACAATGAGAATACCTTTCCGCCAAGGGTAATGCATCGGCCATTTTGGAATTTGGCCCCAAAACAATTTGAAGAGGTGCAACGGCAGACTTCTGGTTGGTATTTAGGGGGACACATGCCATTTGACGATATTATTTCTGCGATAGATACAAAAGACAGTTTATAAACCTTCAATATACATAGTGTTTATTATTTAATTTGTTCCTATAGATGAGTCATTTGTTGCACGTTTAAGCTAGGAAATGGCAGACAGGATTCCATAACATACAAAATATAAAATGTATTGAACAATTTCAATGAAGATTTAAATGACAATAATATAGAATATTCTTTTGTCGTTATTGACTTCGTTCATTCCTGCGTGTGTACGTTGCGTTTTCATTGTAACATCCATTATCTAATCTCTTCACTGCTAAGCAAAATACAATTCAGATCTTTTGTTTATATTTAAGTGATGATAATTTTTATCATTATTTTTTTATTCCTTCTTTAGTTTGTTTTTTAGCATTTCAAATTATTTAAATGCTTTGTTTGAACTTAAATTTTGATGTTATTTGAAAGATAACATCTTAAAGCTAATTCGAATTAAAAAATCCCTTATATAAATTTTAGTCATTTTTAATACATTAGCAATCCTTACTCATCGACACATCGACTCATCGAACCACCATTTTGGAGAAAAGATTAAACAACAAATTAAAAAAAATCTCTTAAAAGTCTAATATTCGTCCCGGAAATGTGTTTTTGAAGTCAGTAAATTTAAGTATTAATTAAATGGATTTTGTAAACGTAATGCTTAATTTTTGCATTAAACATAATGAAAATGACATTTATTTATACACGGTATATGGGTCAGGTAGTTCATTGCTAAACAAAGGTTGCCCATTCCAGGTGTAAATAATTATAACATCTCATCTCAGAAAATCAGACAAAAATTACCTGTTCGTTTTTCACAGTTTTTGCCGATAAATCCTTTCGGGCAAAGACACTGATAGCCCATTGTGTCTATGGCCAAGCAAGTTGCAAATGGACCACAAACAGACCTGGAAAAAAAAATTAGATATTTACAAACAAAGCAAAACATTTTTAAACAATTTTAATAAATGTTAGAATAAAATGAAAACGATCGACTTGAAGAACCGGTTGGTTGATTTCGTTTAACGGCATATCAACACCTCTATGGGTTATTAAATGCCGAATTCTAAATATTTTGAACACTGTTTTATTTTATTTTTAGAGGTAATAATAGTTGTAGTGATACAAGTTTTACGAATTAACCCATAGCCGGAGGAGGGGGGTGTCAAGAAGAGGTGGATTTCTACTTTTCCCAAGGATATTTACGCGTCAGTAAATAAAACGAACCCAACCGAAATCAAATCTTGCTTTCTGATTAACAATTCCGAGCTATTATCTATTACACTCACTAAACACCTGAGCTTACAGTAGCTGTTATTCCCAAGCGGTCACCCATCAAGGTACTGACCAGGCTCGACGTTGCTTAATTTTATTGATCGTACCGGAACTGGGGTTTCAACATAAGCCTATATTTTTGGGCCTTTAGAGCAAATAGAACCATGATGAGAAAAGATATTAAAAATTGAAATTTTCGGACACCACCGCGTCCTTTTTCAACGAGAAATAATATGAAGTTGGACTTTTACTGTTTTTTTTTTTTTTTGTGTATGTGTTATATCTAGTAGTTTGGGCCTAGATTTTTTGCAACGATTAGGGTTGCAGAGGATTTATAGTAGGTTTTCTGTAGAAACTAAATTCATTGATTATGCTTAAATTCTTATTTAAATCTAGGATGTGTGAATTTAGTTTCAAAATGCATTTCAACCTCGGACATTCGGCATTCCTGTTGACATTTGAATAAAGACGTTAAAAGGAGTGAATCTAAAGTTATCAATACTCGGGTACGTTTTTGTTGAAATGTGCAGCTATAACGAAATGTTTTTGATAGTTATTTGATGGTTATTAAACCGAAGACGGAATTCCGTAACTGTTCTACGGATATAATTTCCTGTTTTGCATTTGTTTCATAAAAGTAAATATTTTACATTTGAACTATCACAAGGCGGGGAGGTCGGATTACGGTGTTCGTGCCAGGTGTCATATAAATAATATTGATGATATATTTACAAACTTGGCATCAGGGTTTATTACATGTTCCGTTGCCTTTAAAGTAAGTGGATGATTTTTATATTATAGATCAGTGCTTCTTAATCTGGTGTTCGGTCGAACCTTTGGGGTTCGATGAGTCATTCTTGGAGGTTCGGTGAGTCATTCTCGGAGGTTCAGTGAGTCATTCTCAGGGGTTCGGTGAGTCATTCTCGGAGGTTCGGTGAGTCATTCTCAGGGGTTCGGTGTCATTCTCAGGAGTTCGGTGTCATTCTCAGGGGTTCGGCGAGTCAATCTCATGTGTTCAGTGAGTCATTCTCAGAGGTTTGGCGAGTCATTCTCAGGGTTCGGTGAGTCATTCTCGGAGGTTCGGTGATTACTTCTCGGAGGTTCGGAGAGTCATTCTCAGGGGTTCGGTGTCATTCTCAGGGGTTAGTTCATTCTCAGGGTGTCATTCATTCTCGGGGGTTTCTCAGGGTTCAATCATTCATGGTGAGTCATTCAGGTTCAGTGAGTCATTCTCAGTGGTTCTGTGAGTCATTCTCGGAGCTTCGGTGAGTTATTCTCGGGGGTTCGGTGACTCATTCTCGGAGGTTCGGTGACTCATTCTCAGGGTTTGGTTAGTCATTCGCTGAGGTTCGTTAAGTCATTCTTGGAGGTTCGGTGATTCTCATTTGGTGAGTCTCAGGGGTTGGGTGAGTCATTCTCAGGGTTCGGTGAGTAATTCTCACGGGTTCGGTGAATCATTCTCAGGGTTCAGTGAGTCATTCTCGAGGTTCGGTGAGGGTTCAGTGAGTCATTCTCGGAGGTTTGGTGGAGTCATTCTCAGGGGTTCTCTCAGTCATTCTCGAGTCATTCAGCTTCGGTGAGTTATTCTCGGAGGTTCGGTGACTCATTCTTAGGAGGTTCGGTGACTCATTCTCAGGGTTCAGTTAGTCATTCTTGGGAGGTTCGTTAAGTCATTCTCGGAGCTTCGGTGAGTCATTCTTTGGTGAGTCATTCGGGAGGTTTGGTGAGTCATTCTTTAGGAGTTCGTTGAGTAATTCTCACGGGTTCGGTGAATCATTCTCAGGGTTCGGTGAGTCATTCTCTGAGGTTCGGTGAATCATTCTCACGGGGTTCGGTGACTCATTCTCAGGGTTCGGTGAGTCATTCTCGGAGGTTCGGTGAGTCATTCTCAGGGGTTCAGTGAGTCATTCTCAGGGGTTCTGTGAGTCATTCTCGGAGCTTCGGTGAGTTATTCTCGGAGGTTCGGTGACTCATTCTTGGAGGTTCGGTGACTCATTCTCAGGGTTCGGTTAGTCATTCGCGGAGGTTCGTTAAGTCATTCTCGGAGCTCGGTGAGTCATTCTCAGGGTTTGGTGAGTCATTCGCGGAGGTTTGGTGAGTCATTCTTTAGAGTTCGGTGAGTAATTCTCACGGGTTCGGTGAATCATTCTCAGGGTTCGGTGAGTCATTCTCTGAGGTTCGGTGAGTCATTCTCAGGGGTTCGGTGAGTCATTCTTGGAGGTTCGGTGAATCATTCTCGGAGGTTCGGTGAATCATTCTCGGAGGTTCGGTGAGTCATTCTCAGGGCTGCGGTGAGTCATTCTCGGAGGTTCGGTGAGTCATTCTCAGGGGTTCGGTGTGTCATTCTCGGAGGTTCGGTGACTCATTCTCAGGGGTTCGGTGAGTCATTCTCTGGGGTTCAGTGACTCATTTTCAGGGTTTGGCGAGTCATTGTCGGATGTTCGCTGAGTCATTCTGGGAGGTTCGGTTAGTCATTCTCAGGGGTTCAGTGAGTCATTCTCAGGGGTTCGGTGAGTCATTCTCGGAGGTTCGGTGAATCATTCTCGGAGGTTCGGTGAGTCATTCTCAGGGTTCGGTGAGTCATCCTCAGGGTTTCGGTGAGTCATTCTCACGGGTTCGGCGGAGGTCAAGACATGTGAATGAGGAATAACCTCGACGAAACCATTGTACTTCAACAAAACCAAGTTAAACAGCAACTCTTTAGAACAATAACACTCTCAACCTTTTGGTTCCACCAACTATTAGCGTACCCCGTATTGTTAAGAAAACCCTTGAGATACTCATTCCATTTGTTACCACGTATCTTTGCAAGCAATCCTTTTCGAGGAGCGTAGACATGAAAACGAACAAAGAAACAGACTTTTTTTTTGCAAAAATGATATGAGAGTGGAACTTGCCAAGATGAAGCCGTGCATTTCTGAACTTGTCTCTGAAAGGCAACAGCAAAAGTTGTATTGATTTGCAGTAAATATTCTTTGAGTTATGTTTTTGTTTTTGCGTGAAAGTCATGTTTTGTTTGTTGATTTTGTCCTTTGAAGAGAGTGCAACGGATGCCTGGCTCATTTTTGCACTGTAAAATATATACAGAGAAACCTCTCATCTACGGATCCTCCCATCAACGGACTTTGGATGCAACGGACAAAATCTGCAGGCAAAATAAAAACACCCTTCCAAATCGTCAATTTGTGGTCTTAGTGGAATGTGTCTCAAAGTGACCGCTTGGCGGCAGTGGCGGGCCTTTCAATTGTAAACAAAGACGGTGTACAGTATATAAAGTACGATACATTGCATGAGAAAGTAGTTGAGAGAAATCTATTTTATTTGTTGTTTTGATTAATATATCTATATTAAGTATATTTTTATTTATGCCGTATATACATGTTTATAGTATTTACATTATGATCATAATTACTAGCAGTTACTATAGTGGTTATATAACACAAAAATAATATTTTCCCATCTACGGGCAATCGATTTAAACGGACAACTTCATCCCCCTATTAGTCCGTTGATGCAAGATTTGTCTGTACCTATGTTTTAAAGAAATCATATTTTATTTTTTCAATTTCGAAGGGTTCGTGAATACACGAATAAAACTTACTGGGTTCGTTACCTCCAACAAGGTTAAGAACCATTGGTCTTGATGTTGTAAAAAATGATTGTATTTGGAAGTTATATCGGAATAATTTGGGGTGTCAGGATTTATGTATGAAAAGATTTTAATAAGAGATTAGATAGTTTGTGAATATTGTAATTAAAATCGAAAACTATGGGAATTCTGGAATTTTTTTGTTTCATAGGTTAGTAGAGTATCTTAATTGTGTCATCCTTTAGTTATTGAGAAAGTGATTGATTAGTTGCACTACGCGTTACATTTTGTAATCCCCAGTGTCACAACTGATGCGTTTTATACGTAAACATTGGCTATAGATTATTGATTTTTTTAGGTTCGTAAGGTGACAGCTGTTAAAATTTAGGTAGCAATTAGCATCTGTAGGCTCAATATATAGTGATCTGGAGATGTTGTTTTTAAACGTATCAGAAACTGAACGCAAGTTTACGATTCTCTCTCTCTCTTTTCACACACACACACACACACACACATATATATATATGAACATAAGAATCTTACAGATAATTTATTTTAGAGGAAAGATGTATAACTAAAGCAGAAAAATTTTCGTGCGACGCGTTTCGTCCATGAGGACTTCATCGGACAAAACTTATGTTTACGTTGACTTGATTAATACAAAATAAAATCATAAGCTAAAAGCTGAAGGATGAATTTATTCATTTACCTATAATAATTGCAACAAGTAATACATAGGAGAAACCTCAAGGAATTTAAGTAAACAATTATATGAACACAAAAGGATCTTTTACAAAACAACACACACACAAAACGCATAACGCAACGAGACTGACCACAATTACGACATAAAAATGATATTCTAATTAAAAGAGAAAACAATTCACTGAGACTAAAATGTTTAGAAAGTTCTTTAATCGCTTAGTCATCCGCATTAAATTTGCGTCCAGGTTCTTACAGCGTTTCACCATTCTTGGCCGAACTTCTGTTATGACAATGTGGGATATTTAATAATAAAGATGATGGATAGAAAAAGAAGAAGGATCTAAATAATTTTGGTTAGAGAAAAACCGATAACACATTAAAAGGAAAATTCTTAACTTAAAATTCCCAGCGTCTCTCGCATGTATAGTCACATCAACGTAAACAAACTTAGTCTGATGAAGTCCTTTGGGAGGAAACGTGTCGCACGAAAACTTTTCCCACTTTGTCATCTCCCGTCGAAAACTCTTTTTGATATATAAATAGTCTAATTTGGTGCTCTATAAGGTGGTTAACACTAAAAAGATACACACAACCCACACGCTTAAATTGAAAAAATAAAATCATCCTTGACAATGGCTAAAAGTATAGCCGAAAGCGCTCGGAATTATCGAAGATTTGGACAGTTTCTACGCACATTGTGTCCCAAAAAAGAAAACACTTGTTCGAACACAAGAAAAATTAAATAAAAAGCTTAATCAAAGTACCCTGTTTGTCGTTTTTAATGAAACATATATATATATATATATATATATATATATATATATATATATATATATATATATAAAATAAATATGTGTATATATATATATACACACACACACAATATATATATATATATATATAATATATATATGTATATATATATATATATGTACACACACACACATATATATATATATATATATATATATATATATATATATATATATATTACGATAAACGTGCAATCAATTTACAAATTCATGAATTATTCACACAAAAACTAATGCAAAGGTTAATGATTTAATTGGCGAGAAATCCATCATCGCAAACAATTCAAATAATATACAAAAACCTCCGAATCCGTTATGAATGAAATGATCCTTGTTTCTATAAATTTCTGCCGTATTAGTTCTTATTTTTACTACAAGCTTTCGTCTGTTCCTACAGACATCTTCTTCAGGTATAGAATAGATGTTGTTCTTGTTTTTTTCTCTTAGTAATAAGAGGACAACGAAAATATATGTATTGTTGTATCCGAAAATGCTATTGAAATGAGTTATTGTTTTTGGAGCGCGCAGTAGCAACGCTGAGTTTGATTTTAAATTTTTAAAAGTTGTGCGTTCATATACAAATATGGTGATGAACGAATTTTTTACTGGTAAATTTTCTGTCAAAGTGGCATGAACTATATTGTTCAATAATTACAGTAATAATAATAATGGAGGTTTTTGTATATTATTTGAATTGTTTGTGATGATGGATTTCTCGCCAATTAAATCATTAAACTTTGCATTAGTTTTTGTGTGAATAATTCATGAATATATATATATATATATATATATATATATATATATATATATATATATATATACTAGAAGCATGGCTCTGGCGTGGCCGGGCTTGATTCAAAAATCGTACGACTCATACAGCACTGCACGCACTAACCTGTTTCTTCCCGCGCATAGCGTGACCTTAAATTAATCTGCATTTAGGAAATACCCAACCGGAAAAAAAACATTTTTAAGGGTTGACCGATTGTCGATTTGCACTCTGTTTGGGGGGTGCTCAGAGTTGAAACTTCACATGGTGACTCCCAATGGCCTCTTCATATATCCGCTCGGTTTTCGCTAAAAACTGACATGCGGTTCAGACGCAATCTGGGCGTATCGGTTTTGGGGTTTTATCGATTTCCGCGCTGTTTAGGGGTCCGTGGTCATGAAACTTCTGGACAACACTTCTAATGGTAGACTCTAAGAGGGTGTCAAATTTGGTTGAAATGCGATCATTCCTTCTGTAAGCAGAATTTTTTCGATTATCGATTTTTTCGGAACCTGATTCCGAACTCAAAAATCGTGCTCCGTCATGTCCTTACGGCAGCCATTTGCAAACTTGTGTTGAAAACCGCATCGAAATCGGGTCAGAAATGCGGACTGGGCGAGGTAACAACGCCCACGACAGACACACAGACACACAGACAGACAACATGAGAAATATAGATAGTATATATATATATAGATAGATATAGATAGATATGTGTGTGTGTGTGTGTGTGCGTGTGTGCGCGCGCGTGTGTGTGTGTGTATGTATGTATTAGCAATAAAATTACTTTTCCAATATTGAATCCCGATCAGTGAGTTCTGGTTTGAATGCTCAACTACTTCCGTGACATTTGAACGTCCGATTCAGGGTACTTACCCATGACAGGGATGTTTAGGGTTAATATCAAGCAGAAGTAGATGAGAATCTTTGTCGTGGATTTGAGCTGGGTAGCAATATCCAGGGTAGCCTCCACATCTACCCGTCATGAACTGAGGTTGGCCTGTTAAAGAAAAATAAGGTTTACTAAGAGTACTCCTGAAAATTTAAGTTTTCCTATTCGAAATTTAATGATGAAAAGTTTGTTTTAAAAAAGACAATACGTTTACAATTAAATATTGTTGAGTGAGTTTGCGTACTGTGTGGCCATTGTATTCAAAATGACCAAATGGATAATATTTTGTGTCACGCACGGGTATTTTGGGACGAAATGATATTAACTAAGACTGTTTGCTTAACACAATACGCTATAGATTTGGTTCCTCGGAACTTCCAACTAAAATTGTTGTTAGAACGCAATGGACGAGATTAAAAAGCACTTAACCAGGTATTCAATGGGGACCCTGAAAGAGGAACTTTCTGATTGCTCTGCAAGTGCAAGCCACGCTGGTATGTGTAAGGCGCAAAGCAGACAATTTTAAATGGAGGGTTAAGGCACCATTGCAGTAAGTAGTTTTTTTTTATTATTATCATTTATTATAATAATAGCTAACGGCTGGATACTTTTCGGATATCAACCCGACCCACCGGAGGTAAATCAACATAAAATATTAATTTACCTCCAGTGGAAGTGTGGGGGAGATTTGGAGGATGACGTCCGGAAAGTATCCAGCCGTTAAATATATATATATATATATATATATATATATATATATATATATATATATATATTATTTTAAGTATATTTGCTGCTATCTCATAATTTCTCATCCTGTAACGTTGTCGATGTCAAGACTAATGAGGATTTAATTCCGGATTTCCCTACTCGTTTCCCCGGCAAAACAGAACAACAGTCTTCTGTGTTTAATTTATTTCTTACCTCCTCTCCTTGCTCTTGTCGAGCTTTGCAACACTGCCCTCTTGGTAACTCGGACCACTCTGTTGGTTGCTATTGATATTTCGTTCAAATCACTATTAAACAGGAACCCCCTATTCTATTACCAGAAGGCTGCTTTGGACTAGCTCCATGATTTTCTTCGCGACGTCCTTGGACTGACATATTTAATCTTCCAATTCAGAATTGTGCCACTGAGGTTTCTTTTAGGGTCAAAGCCGGTATGGATGCATTAATTCCTTCTAGGAAGTACCAGGTTACACCTCAATCTTCTCCATCGTTCAGCCGCTATAGCACACAGGAAACACTACTTCCAGCTATACCACCATGACAGCTCTCGACACAATAGGCGCCTATTTGTTGTTGTTTGCAATAAATGTAAGCGAGTCCCTGAAGGAGCTAAGTCCCTGTTTGCCGAGAAAATGAGGCACCACATAGCCTCTAACAACGTGATTACTAGCGGTTCTGTAATAGGATATTAAATAAGTGCAAGGTATCTATTCCTCCCATCTTTAATCAATTTGAGGTGTTATTATCCCCAGCTGATAAAGCTGAAGTCTTTGCCTGTAAATTCTCCTGAAACTCGACGGGAGTATCCCTGCGTAACTTTCTACATAGAACTGAGTCTCTGTTGAGTAATCGGCATACAACTCCCTCCATGGTTTCTGTTATCATCTCTAACCTTGATCCTCGCAAAGCCAATGTGAACCCAATGGTGTTCCTGCAATGGTTATTAAGAAATGTGCTTTCGAACTGGCTCCTGTTCTCTCTAAACTCTATAATAAATGCCTCGCTACCTCCTGTTTTCCTGCCTGCTGGAAGTCATCGTCTGTTAATCCAGTTTTTGAGAACTCTGGTGAAACGTCCGACCTTTCCAACTATCGACCTATTAGACTTCTACCTCTTTTGGGGAAACTCCTAGAGGCCCTAACCAATGCCGAATTGATTAAGCAACACTCATCGCAGGGCTCTTTTTTCAGACAAGCAATACGGCTTTTGTTTCTCCAGGTCAACCACTGATTTACTGACGATAATTGTAGAAAGAGTCTATCGTACTTTAGATAAAAAAAAAACGGTGTGGGCTAAGTAACAGTCTAACTCTCTGCTTTCGGGCGGAGAGAAACCCGGACGAGGCACCGCCGAAGGGCAGAGTCTCGTTCGGGGTGGTTGACTGCCCCTGAACCCGTTTACGCGGGTTCAAAGAGGGAATATTTTTGGCCGAGCCTACAGGCCCGGAAATCCCACGTTAAAACCCGGCCTTGTGCCATATGTAACCCTTTGCTTAGCTAAATTTAAAAAAAAAACGGCAAAGTCCGGAGTGTAGCTTTGGACATTAGGAGAGCTTTTGACAGTGTTTGACATTCAGGTTTTCTCCACAAACTGAAAAGTTACAGTGTCCCCGGATATATTTTTGAACTGGTCCAGTATTTTCTGTCAATTAGTGAACTGAAAGTTATCCTGAACTGCTACTCGTCTAGATCGATTTCTACTAAAGCGGGTATCTCCATCTTCGGTCCTACTTTGCTTTTAATTTTTATTAATGACCTTCCCGATGATATCAGATCACAATTTGGTATCTACGCTGATGGCAAAATCCTTTTGCCCGTCTCGACAGTAAGGCTGATCAGTTCGATAAGATCAAAGTGACAGCCGATGGCTAAAACAGCCTCAAGTCAGTTATTAACTGGGGCAAAAGATGGCTTGTTAATTTTAACGACTCCAAAACTAATTCCCCTCCATTAATCATCAGAGAGACCCCTCTTTGCCTTCCATCAGCATGGCTGATGCTAACCTCCAGGAAAATGATTCGTTTCACCTTCTCGGGCTTACGTTCTCAGCTGACATGAAGTGAAAAGACTATATTGAATCCATTGTTAAGAAAGGTGGTTCACTGTGTCGTACGAGACAATTTTTCTTCCCAGAATCTATCATACATTTCTATAAGTCTACCATTCATCCATGTCTAGAATATTGTCACAACCACATATGGTTCGGTGCACCTGATATTTACCTTGAGCTCCTTGATAAAATCCCAAAAAGAATCAGCAATATTATTAGTCATGATGTGGTAGCTCGGCTCCAGTCACATCCCACCATTTAATGTCCAAATCTATTTATTATTATTATTGAGTCTATAGGTAAAACATTGGTTGTGTTTGTACTTGAGTCTATAGGTAAACATTGGTTGTGTTTGTACTTGAGTCTATAGGTAAACATTGGTTGTGTTTGTACTTGAGTCTATAGGTAAAACATTGGTTGTGTTTGTACTTGAGTCTATAGGTAAACATTGGTTGTGTTAGTACTTGAGTCTATAGGTAAACATTGGTTGTGTTTGTACTTGAGTCTATAGGTAAACATTGGTAAACATTGGTTGTGTTTGTACTTGAGTCTATAGGTAAACATTGGTTGTGTTTGTACTTGAGTCTATAGGTAAACATTGGTTGGAAGGGGATAAAGTCGTTGCATTCTAAGTCTGTGATGCTTTAATCGTAAGCAGAGGTCACAGCCTGAACCAAATTGCCGATTCATAAGCAGATCATCACGTCATTTGTCATGTATACCTCTACTACTACTACTACTACTACTACTAATAATAATAATAATGATAGCAAAACTTTACCAACAACATAAACAGATAGAGCCCACGAGCCACCACAAATCTCTCTGCGATTTCCAGCGCATCGCATTCTGCAATTCCTTGATACTCCGTATTTGCTATAATTATTTCCACACCAACATTCTTGACCAGCCTGAAAAGAAAAAAAAGTTTACTGAGAAAATTATACGTAACATGAGATTTGCATCTCATTTACATGAGTGGAATTAGTTATGGAGTCAGTCAGGAGATCCCCACGGAAAACTTGCACATATCTCATTGCCGCAAAGCTTCTTCCCCGGCTGGGAACAATGTGCACATTGCAAATGGGAAAATTTTAAAAGCGATAGTAATCACATTTCTCTAATGCACGGAATACATTATCTACTCAAGTAATAATGTCCCTTTTTTCAGGTTTAGTCGTGAAATCATTAAAAATCGTTCCAGAAAAAAGATTCACGATGAAAGAAATACACAAACCATAAAAGAAACAGAATTTTATCGTCAACAATTTTGTCTTATTATTAAGATGAAAAATCAAACGATTTTTTGATTTAAAATTACTTTTTTTTAATATTCTTTAGAACTTTGGAAATTTTGGTTAAAAATCTTGTTTTTCTGACCTCAACGCGGGACCATACATTTGTAAAACACATTGATTTGGAAATTCTTGAAAAAGTCAGTTAATTGGCGTATTTTAATGTAATTTTTAGGAAAATTGAAGAAATTATTTTTGGAACTTCTTCTTTTAGGAAATATTCGTGAAAATATTTATTTTACATCTGTAACACCCATTCATTTAATTTTATGAAATTTCGAAAAATTCTTATTGGTATCGCTTAAGGTTTATATTGATTATAAGGACAAGTCTTTGGAGAATATGAATCATCAATTTTTTTGGTCAAACAAGAAATTTGCTCTGAATGCTTTTAATTGCTTTTATGAGTAAAATATATTATGGACACTATGGTCTTAAGAAAAAGTTCTTTTTTCGATGAATAAAGAATTTTTGCATGAATTGTTTTGATTACTTTAATTTTTTTTTAATTGAATAATCTACAAGTTTAAATTTTTTAAAATTCTGTATTAGTTTGTGGAGGTCAAGTGATATTTCTATTAAATTAAATCTGTATTTACGAATCATAAATGGAAAACCTTATTACAATTCAATGACCTCTGATACTTTAAAATTAATTTTGAATTTATTTTATAAAAGTGTCGATTTTCGTAAATTCGGGGTTTAGTCACAGTCAATTAAGTACCATGCGTATTACACGCGTAGACGATCATGTATCTTTTGATACATGACTGACGAGTAACTATATGGAATTTAACACCACGACTCAAAAGACTAAAAAACCAATACTAACCTATAAATAGCCAATAACGTAATATTTATATTCATCGTAACTGGGCATTTCAGTGGAATGGACTTTTTTACGAACTCATCACGCCAGATGATGCGTTTCTTTCTAGTCACTGTAAGATCGCTTAGAATAGTTGCGGTATAAATCACAGTTGGCCTTTTGGGTGTTTAAACAGCACCAATGTGCCTGATCAAGCGTATGCAACAAGGATTGACTAGATAATCGATCAGATTGATTTTAGATTTACATTTTGATTTCCTTTTTTCAATTTTTATAGGGAGCGAAAATAAAAGTGTAAACACTGACAGTCAACGAATGTCAAATATTTCTTTATAAGTAAATGGATAACATTATCTGAACCATTTGAAAGTTACCCATTCAGATATTTGCAAATATCCAATATAATATCATTGAATCGTGGAGGGCGGTATAAATCATTTTTTAATGACTTCTAATTTTAAAATTCAGAGAAAAAGCCAAGGGAAGTTACTCTGTATAAAAATAATAGATTTACTTCCCTTGGATTTTGTTTGCCTTTTACTGAAAATCTGAAGGAAATATTAACTTATATCATGTTATCATCTGTGAATCGTTAATGTATGTTTGTGTACGTGTGTGTAATTTATCATATGGTAGAAAAATATATTTTTTTCCTTTTGACCAAATTTCCCTTATAATCTTTTTCATTTTCCAATATTTAACAGCTTCATTTTACGGAAGTCTAGGAGAAGTAAAGAATAATCTGTATTTTTTTTTCATTGTTGAAAAAAAATAATGTCTTTGTTTCGTTATTCCATAAAAATAAATACCGGATTCCCCAAATCCTAAAGATCTCCGGCAAGATTCAATGAAATAAATTTTGCCTAGCAATATCTATTGTGTAGTTTGAATGAAGGGAGAAAGGAAAAGAAATGGAATGTCGTGATAGGGAGAGAAGAAGAAGCAGTGGCGACAGATGATTTCTTTTATAGAGAGATATCACAGCAAACCGGAGAAAAAGATGAATTATGGGAAGAAATAAAGAAACTATAAAACTCAACCGAAAATATGTCAGCGATTCTTTTTTTTCATTTTGGCGAACCTGTTGCAGAAACGTGTCAGAGAGAGAGAGAGAGAGAGAGAGAGAGAGAGAGAGAGAGAGAGAGAGAAAGAACGTACAAGAAACGCAGAGAGATTTGGGAAGAATGTAAAGCTGAGGAGATTCGAACGACCAACCCCCACTTACTTCGCATTGATACAT